TTCAGGATCGGGATTAGACCCAAATTTCGCTCCAAATCTCCAAAATTTCAACCCCAAACCCCAAATTTTGCTCCAAATCCACCCGACATCAGAATCACACCCAAATCCCGGCATGGATTCTGTTCAGGATCGGGATCAGACACAAATCCTGGCCTGGATTTCATTTCAGGATCGGGATCACACACAAATCCTGGTCCAGATTTTATTCAGGATCGGGATCACACCTAAATCCTGGCCTGGATTTCATCATGTACTGAAATCAAAGACAAATCCTGGCCTGGATCCACTTCAGGATTGGGGTCACACCCAAATCCCGGCCTGGATCCACTTCAGGATCAGGATCACACCTAAATCCCGGCCTGGACTTCATTTCAGGATTGGGATCACACCCAAATCCCGGCCTTGCTTCATTTCAGGATTGGGATCACACCGAAATCCCGGCCTGGATTCTCCTCAGGATCAGGATCACACCCAAATCCCGGCCTGGATTTCATCATGGACTGGAATTAAAGGCAAATCTCGACCCCAAATCCACCTGAGATCAGGATCAGACACAAATCCCGGCTTGGATTCCTTTCAGGATCAGGATTAGACCCAAATTTTGCTCCAAATCTCCAAAATTTCAACCCCAAACCCCAAATTTTGCTCCAAATCCCCCAAATTTTGCTCCCAAATCCATTTTCAGGCCCCGTCCAGGCTCCGGGCCCACCTTTGGGTCCTCTCCCGCGCCTCCTCCCACCCATAAATCGGCCGATAACCGAATCGCCGCTCGGCCTTGCGGCTGCTGACGGTGAAGGGCGTGGCCGCCACCGCCCAGGTGTAGGGGTTGAGCAGGGGGGCGAATTTGGGGCCCAGGAGCCCCCGGAGGGCCCCGTTGAGCCGGGCCAGGAACCCCAAAAGGGCCGGGGGGATTCGGGGACCCCCCGAGCGCAGCCCCAAAAGGAGGAGGTTGAAATCCTCGTAGGGGACGCGGGGGGAGGAGTCGTAGCAGAAGAAGGCGTGGCCGGCGACGGAGGAGGGGCGGAGCAAAGCGGCGCGGGCGGCCTCCAGGTGCATCCAGGCCACGTTTCCTGGAAAAAAAATTGGGAAAATTTGGAGAAAAATGCGATTTTTTAAAAAAAGTTGGGGTTTTAAGGAAAAATTGGGGATTTTTTGGGAGTTTTGGGGGATTTTAGGGGGAAAATTAAAGGATTTTGGGAGAATTTTTGGATGAAATTCAGAGATTTTGAAGGCATTTGAGGGAGATTTGGGGATTTTGAGGGAAATTCAGGATTTTTGGGGGAATTTAGAGATTTTGAGAGAAAAATTGGGATTTGGGGGAAATTTGGGGGTTTTTAGGGA